CCAGACAACAGCATGGGAGGAGGCAATAACCAATTGTCGTGAAGAGCTAGTTAGAATCAGGGTGCTCCAAGAAAAGCATCAATCGATAGCATTCCTGCCGCATGTCCCGATTCACCAATTGGCCCTAGACCCGGCTGAGTGGACACGGTCAACCCCTGCGAGGAAGGGCAGGAGTTTCACGAAATCCCTGCACAGCCTAACGGTTAAGGGGTCCTACCGGCTTCTCAGACCGAGATTTAATCTACGGGACCGGGTGGAGGAGCGCTGGATGGGACGCCTAAACGTAAGCAAAAGCACTCTGAAAGGAATTAAATGGATCAACTTGGCAAAAATTAAACCTGCAAAAGTTGCCTCACTGCAATGGCAAATAGAGCATCGTTGCCAAACGACTAGCTCATAGACAAAACCCGTCTTGAGCAAATGGGGAGGCCCCTGCCCTGGTGCAGACTGTGTGTGGAGGCCTTCCCGTCCCGTAAAAGGCCCGAGACCATCGAAAACATATTTCTCCAGTGCCCAGGCGCAATCTGGCTTTGGAGATGGTGGGACAGAATTTGGGACTGTTTAGGAACGCGATCCTCATGGCCGTGGGACTGGACAGCCCTGCTGTGCGAAACTTGGACAGAAGAAGAGCTAGACGATTTCACCATTAACCTGTTCAAGTTGGGCCGCCGGGCAGTCCTCTGGGCTCTCTGGCGACGGCGCTGCAGCTATGAGATAGAAAGAGTAAGATTGAATGGCCCAGATTTCACGGACAGTATCCAAAACACATCCAAACAGCAATCACAGCAAAATGGGAAGCAGCTAAAACCCAGTTACAGACAGTAAGTACAAGACAGGAAATACAACAAAAATTACAGAACTTCAGCTCGAGCTGGCTGGGAGGGGACAAGGGGGGCAGGATAGGGAGAGTGGAATGGAAAGGAGGACAGAAGGAGGGGGAGGGCTTAGAAAGGGATTACCGGTTGTTGTTCAACGACTGGACAAATGTAGACACAGCGATCCCGATGAAACCTGCCCAAGAGTTYCCCGACCCCTTCCCACCTCCCTCAAACTGTATAGTAGACTTACAATGGTATGGAAGGGATTGAAGACAAGGAGCCTCAGTGATGGTGAGAGTGAGAGCGAGAGAGAGAGAGAGAGAGAGAGAGAGAGAGAGAGAGAGAGAGAGAGAGAGAGAGAGAGAGAGAGAGTGAGGGAGAGAGAGAAGGATGTTGCCTTTTCAACTAACAATTACAGCAAACGGAAGGTAGGGGGTGGGAGAAACTAGAATACGGCTGCAGGTATCTGGCGCCGGCTTTTCGGTGAAGAGGTTCCCCCCCTCCGTGCCTCCTGCTCAGTCAATCCCCTGGATGCCAGGGCAATCAATGCTGGCAGGATTTGTCCCAAATTTGTGTTGATAATTCTCAACTGTATCACATTCATACGGGACGCTGGACCCATTTTCCAGCAGGTGCTGCTCCCCACCAATAGATGGAGCCTATCCCTAGGTGCTAACGGCGTTTGCTCTTATCAGCGCCGTTAGCACTGATGGGATTGTTTCTTGAAAAAAAAAAAAAAAAAGGAAAAAAAAAAAGAGAATGCAGATTCATTTATTATTTTTATTTTTATTTTTATTTTTATTATTTTTATTATTTTTAAAGTCCAGGGTGTTGTAGAGGCCAGTCAGTGTGTGCACTGTGATCACCTGGAAGTGTGAGCTGCTGGTGTCCTGGAATATGAGACGACCTCCCAACCCATCCTCACGTCAATACTCCTAGCGCACCCTCTCTCCCACTATTCTGCCTCAGTGTGACCAGCACTCAGGACCATTGCCCTACCAACGGGCAGGCAACAGCAGTGATAGGCACCAGCCTGAGGCTGATAAATTGCCCAGCCCTGGTGGAAGCGGAATCGGAAGAACCTTGTCGAACGGGAACTTCAGATGCCAGGCCCAGAAAATGAACTACAGGCCCCATATATAGCCAACAGACAGGTCTATCCGAATGTCAGTAGGAACTCCACCCAATGGCACCCTATCGAACCTACCTGAACCTACTGCAGGCACTAGACCCCACCAGTGACTAGCTCCCCAGCCTGTTTTTTGTGTGTAATATTCTGTGTGTATGCGAATGTCAGTAGGAACTGCACCCAATGGCACCCTATCCAACCTACCTGAACCTACTGCAGGCACTAGACCCACTGTGTATATTCTTTGAATCTATGTAAACAGTATCATGTGTGGAAACTTATGTATGTAACCCATTTGCAGGCTATGTGTGTATGCCCGAAATCTATGTGTACTCTGTGAGTCATGTGTGTGTATAGAGGATAGAACAGCGCAAGCTGGACAAGGACCGCCCCCAAGGATCATTTTAGGGTTGCCGTTTTTGCCGTTTTTTGGGAAGTTCCCATTCTGGCATTGGGTGTGACTCCGAAGTACTTGCCCTCCCTCCCCTTCTTTTTTGTTTTTTGCGGGGGGGGCGGCAATGGCTCCTGGGTCACACCCAGCGTTTCTTTTTTTTTTTTTCTTTTTTTTCCCAGCATTTCTAATAGGCAAGTTAAGGCAACTTCAGCACTTCTCTAAACAGGGCAAAAAAAATCCACCGCTAAATCTGCATTTGCGCGGGCACTTCAAAAAGACGGCGGCAGTTTCAACCCCCCGCTAAACTTGCACATAATGATTTAGAAACTCAAACAATGCCTTCGGCGGCACTTCGTCTTTTTTCATGCCTAATGTTTCAAACTTAACAGCTGACTCAGGAGCAGTTTCCCCTTTTTGGTTTGTAAGGAGATGTTCTCCTGCCTCCCACGTGAAGCAATGCTTGGTGCTCTGGAGTGGCTACTTGATTGCCAGTTTGGGAAGGGAAGGGAAGGGAAGGGAAAGGAAAGGAAGTATAATCTGTTGGGGGAAATCTTAGAGGAGGAGGTGGTTCAGTATAAAGTGCTTCGCAGCCAGAACACCGCAAATTATGCTATGGCAGATGTGGACACAGCAGTGAAAAAACTTCAAAAAAGTAACTGCCGACTTTCTGAACAAGAAGAGACACTTGTGTCAGCAGACTGAGTGATGATGGCACCCTCCATACACTCCGCGGTTGAAGGTCCTGGAGTGATTCTGATCAAGCAATGAGATTATGGGTGGCGCTCTCCACATGACCATAGCCATTTTCATTTTTCATTAACTAGCAGCCACCACCACTCCCCCCGACGCGGAAAACCTCCTTCTACCGGTAGCGCCGTTTCGCGAGGGGTACCCGCAGACACTGGGACTCAAATGTGGCGGAGCGGGTTCGGGATGGCTCAGGATGTTCGGTTATCCATAACGTAAACAGCCATGGGGGTGGTCTCTTCCACCAAAAAATTCCCTACATAGGATGGAGAGATGACCCTCAGGGCCTCAGCTACTATTTCATGGAGCATGAAGGGGTGCGACTTCCCTTATAACTGCGGCCATTGCAGTCTGTGGAGCCCCCCTCCTTAGGGATCTTTTTTATTTTATTTTTATTTTTTATACACTCTACTGTAACAGTGTAAGAGCTTCTGGATTCGGGACTGGGATGGTACTTAACGGGGGCCACCAATTCGGGAAAGGCACACTTGCAGCCCTTAATTCTGGTGGATGTCTCACCACCACTAGGATAAAGGGCTTGCGGAAGGCCTATTCAAAAAAAAAAAAAAAGGGCACAGTTGCAGGCTTGGGAGCCTTCTAAATGGCTTTCTTTTTTTTTTTTTTTTTTTGGGGTAAAACTTAAAAGCCCCTGTGTAAGCCCTCCATCCCGGATGGTAAGAGAATTGTCCAGATTGAGGGCTTATCTATTGGGCTGCTCCATCTATTGGTGGGGAGCGGCACCTGCTGGAAACCGGGCCCAGCGTCCCATAAAAAAAAAAACATGACTCACGGGGATAGTTGTTTGTTGTTTCAGTGGCTGTTCCTCATCAACTTAGGGCGTCGTTAGACACTCCTTACGAGTTCCTTGAGCCACAAGGAATTTTCCTTGTGGCTCGTAAGGGAATTTGGCGGCGGCGTTCCACACATCCTTGGGGACGTCCCCCGAGGACGTTTCCTTGTGGCCTGCCGCGGTCATTTTCATATGAAGATATGCAGCCGCGGGTGGGGGTGTCCATGGTCCAGCGTCCGGTGGCCGTGTGGAGACGGCGTGGTCCAGCGATGTCCGGCGGAAAGGGCATGAGCCACGGAAAATAAAATAAAAAAGGGGAACCTCTGCATTTGAATTCAAAATTTGAAGTACAGCTGTGGTGACGGCGACGACGTTCGGCTTGCAGTGCGCAGACGTTGCAGGGCTGAATCGGCCTTAGCGGCGGCGTCCCTTCCGTCCACCTCGCGGTCAGTGTACGTGCGTACACCGGGTGCGTCCATCACCGTCGAGCTTCTCCTCCACATCGTCCGCGCCATCACACGCTGTTCCACCAGGGAGACGACATCTACGGAAAGGCGGAAGCTTCTCGGACCTCTCCTCGGGGGGTGAGCGGGTTACGTCTCTGGGGTGCAAGGATTGAGACGGCAGCGAAGAGATGTCATCCTTGTGGAGGTGGTGGCGATGGAGGGCGGCAGAGAGGGTGGACGTGCGCTGTTGACACCCCTTGAGCGGGCAGCCGTGGCGGCGGCCGTGTCTACTGTTATTCTTTGTTGTCAGCAGGAGAGGGCCCTGGGACGAATGAAGGAGCAGTTGCGTGCAAGTAGAAGAAGGACGCTGATGCAAGCTGCGGATGATGGCCCCGACCACGTGGCAACTTTGGCGGCTGTCATCGAGCTGTGCTACACGTTGGGCTGCGGAGTCATTCCACGAGCAACACTGAGGTGGTGGATCAAACGCAGGACGGGGGGGACATGGGAAGACCTTCGACAATGCGACGATGCCACCAACGAGAAGCAGCACAGCGCCGAGGAGCAGCAGAGGGACCACCAGAAGCAGCACAGCGATGAGGAGCAGAAGAGGGAGCATGTGGTACAGGTCGGCCGTGAACTGCATGGTGGAGAGGGCAGCAATGAGCACACGAGGGCGGAGAAGGCAAGAGTCTTATCGGATGCGCAGCATGTGACGACATGCATGGGAATACGACGCTTGTGAAGAAACCTCTTCTGTGGATGGACTGAAGGCGCCGCCGGGAAAAAAAAAATTCCTACCGTTGATGCCGGCCGAAAACGACGACGCCGCCTGATGGAGGCCCACCGCCAGCAGTAGCCGTTTGGGGACTAGGCATACGTTTCTCGAGCGCGAGACCGCATGATGCCGGTCGAAAGCGACGACGCCACCCGATGGAGGCCCACCACCAACAGTAGTCATTGGGGGACGTTGGGGGAATACGCAGACGTTAGAGGGCGGGGATGTCCGTGCTAACGCCGCTGGACCACATCTGGACCACCCAAGAACCAAATCTCTCCGTCGACGCATGTCTTCGCCACTCCGTAAATCACGCTTCCTTGAGCTCCAAGGGACCTCACGAGATAAGGAAATTTTGGCTGGGGCCACAAGGATGTCACAAGGAATTTTCCTTGTGGTGTTTTCACATTTCTTTTTCGATTTCGTCCCCATGGACAGGTGGAACCAGCGCGTCCTTGTGGATTTCACGTCCCCGAGGAGTGTCTAACGACGCCCTCAGGATCGTGTGAACGGGTGGTTTGAAGCACCAGTACCTTTCCCAGCCAACTTTTCAGAGTGGGGGCATGCATGCAGCCAGGACTCCTGCGAAGTATTGGAGCGCTGTTTCCCAGCACATCCGTCCAGGCGAAATGGGTTGCATGCGAGGCTCGTTTTAGGTGGATAGATGACCACCTACGCAAAAAGGCGCCCCGGAACTTCGCAAGAGTTGTGGCAGCATGCAGGGACTCTGAAAAAATGGCTGGGAATTTTTTTTTTTTTTTTTTTTTTTTTTTTTTTTTTTTGTAATGAAGAAAAGTCCACTGGGGTTGACGGCAGAGCTGATAAGAGCAGCCTTTGCCATCACCCCAGTCCTGATGGCTTCACTCTATTGGTGGGGAGCAGCATTTGCTGGATAGCGGGTCCACCGCCCCTTGAGCCTTCTGCGGGCCGCCAGATAAAGCTTTTTTTTTTTTTTTTTTTTTTTTTTTKTTTWTTTTAACGGTGGGCCAGGGTACTAGGSGGGGTCATAARAGCATCCCCMCCTAGTGTCAAAGCATCAATAGCTTTTTTTTTTTGCTTTTTTTTTTTTAATTTTAAAATGGGCCCAGTGCCCAAGGCTGATATTACAAATGAGAATATTGAGGCCGGGGTCCTCACAGTCTACCCGGAGTAACCAAAAGGACAACTGCTGAGAACTACTGAGAACCGGGGTCAGCCTCCCACATATTATGATGAAACCAATCATGATGATAGTACTAAAGGTGTTTATGCTGCGGCTGATGATGAAACCAATCATGATGATAGTACTAAAGGTGTTTATGCTGATGTAAGAAACTATTCTATATCTGCCAATCTGGCTTCCTAAGCCTAGCTTAACTCCTAGCCCTCCTTAACCCAGGAGTTTAATAGCTCAACGACAATACCACCCGCACCAACGTCACCCATAGCTGTTCTCTTCTCGCCACCAACAGGCCCCCCCGGTTTGCCACTGGATTGCCTTCCTCCCTCGGCAAAACCCAGATCTCTCTACAAGACCTCACGCTCCTGCAGATTCCAGGTTACAGGGCAGAACCCCAGCTCCGGCCAGCGTCGTTCTGGCATCGGCAAACCAGGGGCACAGAACAGAGCAACTCTGCGGAAATCAGTCCAAGTTCGACCATCCCTGACCTCCTCCATCCCAGGTATATACTAGAACTGGAAGCTACCGCAAAGCCAGAGAACCAGAAGACTAGATATAGCTTCTTTTTTTTTTTTTTTTCCCTAAAGCATTCTCTGTTTTTACTAAGAAAACATATGCACAATTCAGAAGCAAATTCCGCTACCCCCATCAACCCTCTTTCCTCCCTCCGCAAGACTTACTGCAGCAGAGCCACCATCTCCACTGCTGCTATACCCTATTTCCATCCTACTAGCTAGCCCCTTCACTTAGAGGACTCCTGAAATCCCACCATCTACTTATCCCACTCACCTCTTTTTTGAAAAAGTAAGAAGAATTCCAAGAGAATTAGAAAAATTGGAGAAACGAAAATCAGAGCTCCACCAATCCAAATCAGACCCTCACTACAGGCGAGCAACAGCCACTCAAGCTTTCAGTCCTTGTACCAGAAGTTGCCAGTTCTCACACCCCCCTTGCTAGGGTTACAAGGCAACACAAACTGCCCCAACACCGAACTAACTGTCTTCTGACGGACAGGAAGTGTCTTCCTCCCTCGACAACTTCCTTAGCTGCCAAACCCCCTACCGGGTTACAGGGTCACTGCCCCAGCATCAGCTAGGTTGAAAGAGGTGGTTATGCCTTCCACCCTCGGCATAGCTCCAATGGCCTCTTGCAGTTTCAAAAGCTGAGGTTTTGGAGGGCTCGCACTGGTGGTTTAACTAAGATGACCCACCCCAAGTAAGCACATGTGGAACACAACCCACGGGCCAATGGAATTGCCCAAAACTTTGACAAAAGTAGGAAAATACTGAGAATGTTCTAGCCCATGGGCTTACGCCCAAACCTGGCTCTTGTTGGGATTGGGCGTACGCAAATGGGATAGCAAAAAATTGTAGTGGGAAGCTCCCTTTGCACCGGGGGGCTTGCCCCACATGCCATAGAATAGTATAGTTTACTAGTCTGTGTGACAGTGGAAGGCGGGAAATGAACGTCCTTCTGCATTCGCGCTTGCCGCCTGAATAATAAATGGGTCTCGGCTACTCTCCTCTTTGTGCAAAACGTTTTTTTTTTTTTTTTTTTTTTTTTTTTTAAA